CGAAAAAATACAGAAAGGTTTTGTTTTTTCAAAACTGACAAACAAGGAGGAGATGGAGTGACGCTATATGTCAAAGAAAACCTGAACTGTTGCATCAAAAATGTAAAATCTGGGACGAACTGACGTACTGTATGGTTGTAATTTCCTAACAGAAATAAAAATCTGATCTTAAGAGTGCAATATCGACCCCTGAACTAGAAAGCGACCAGGGGACGAAATAGTTAATGCTTCATGGATATAGAATAACCCTAGGGACATTTTTAGTCAAATTTACTTGAATCTCTTGACTGCAAATTTAGAATCCATCGACTTCCTCGAGGTAGTCCATGATTGTTTTTTCAGCGGTTTGTGACAGATCAAACAAGAGGAAATAACACGAGAGAGCTCGACACAAGCGATCACAGATCTGTTCCACTTGCCTGGAACTTTGATAAGCATTATACGTAGAGATTCTAGGTTTTAACTCTGCAGATTACAGAAATTGGGAATCAGAATAATAAGAGATGTAATAGCCACTCCTAAGAGATTACGTTGCACTAGTGGATAATACACATACAAAACGATATTGTGTAAACCTTCTAATTAATAATCAAATGCGCTCATTTGTCAGCTTAAAATACCGCAAGTCCCAGGAGGATTCCAGAATCTTCGAAAGAATCTCCTAATTATATATAGTGTGTGTGAACGAGATTATTTGGCGTTTCTGGTAGCGGGGAGTAAATGATAAGTCTTCGGAGACTTCTTTATTTGCAAAGTCATGGTGGGTCATGGGCCCTCCCGGGCCCATGGCCCGGGAGGGCCATGCCCACGAGGGACAAAGGAGTAGGACTGTTGACTGAGTCTAGACCGCCGAGAGTGTGGGAGCGACTGGGACCAGCGTCCCACTTACCTGGGCAGGCCTAGAGAGGGCAGCACCTGAGTGACGCGAAATATGAACTAAGCTGGCAGACAGCATAGACATATATATATATGTTTAAATAGCAACGCTCTTCTTGCCGAATAAGGCAAGCAAAACATTTGTGTATGCAATAATTTCGCAAAAATTATTCTGAACCTAACTAAAAAAATATTTTTCACTGTTTATTAAATCATTGTAAACTTATCTAAAATATATTTAGTTGGATTAGGCTAAATTAAATTGCGCTTGTTATAATAGGGTTAGGTAAGTTTCCTAAGATTCTTTTGGTACAAAATTATTTTTTACATTAACACACACACACTCTTCTCCGAGGCTATGGGTCCCACAATTTATACCAGAAGTGGACCCCCATAATATATTATTATTTTCATTAATATAGTGTCATCTCTAGATATCAGACTTCATTATGGAAAGAATATTTTCAAAAAATATGTTTCTTCTC